CACACACACACACACACACACACACACACACACACACACACACACACACACACACACACACACACTCACACACACACACAATATGCTGAGCCAGGCATCAGGTGGTTAACTATGGCTGAGTTCAAGTGGGGTGATGTCATCTCCACGAAGTAGCTATGGTGGGTGGACTCCATATGAGGACATATGACAGTTGTACTGCGATTTTGACCCTTGTGGTCTACCTGAAGCTTTCCTGTATATGAAGGTCCATTTGGCGAAATCGCTAGTCGTAGCGGTGGCTGCTCTTACCAGCACCACTATCACCGGGGGGTTGTTGTTAAAAAAAAAAAAGAAAAAAAAAAAGACCACGGCTGGTGGCTGTGACGGCAGATTTCCAAGCCTGTACCATCATCATGTCCTGTATCACTTAGGCAGGTAGTGCGGTTGGACTTCTCTAGTCCACCCTAGATTGAGTGTCATTCCTTTAAAACTGGTTCAACCCATGTCAAGCTGCATTACTTCTCCAGCTGCTGCACTTGTCACATGAGCTGCTTTTCACGCTAGCTATGGAGGAAGCCTCCGTCATTGCCTGGCAGCTTTGGCAGGGACCGTAGGGGTTCTGCAGAGATGGGGCCCAGGTACATGATCTGGAGGAGGGAGTCCATCCTCATACCATGGGTTCAAGCCAGGCCAAGCTGCGTTTAGTTTACAGGGCTCACATCAGGTGCTCTTCCTCCCGGCTGTGGTGGAGCCCTCTCGTCTGCTACCACCTTCCAGCTTCAGCAGGGGCTGTGGGGGGTTGCAGCGATAGGGGATACAAAGGATCTGTAAGTGTTCAGCAGTAGAATCTGACTGGCGTCGAGGCAGTACGAGGGGCGTCCCTGAGGACGGTGAGGCGACCGGGACGATGTGTGGAATGAAGGAAGGGAATGTACGGTCGTTATTGCTGTGTCGAGACCGGAAGTTGCCCCAAATGCAGCGATAATGGCTGTGCGTTCTGTTCGGGTTAAGAATGGTAGTATGGAGGTGTAGGGTCTGTGGGGGCAGTAGGAGTCAATGGTAGTCGAAGTGGAGGCTCATTTAGACCACTAGGTGCTTGATCGATCAAGGGGCATTAGCGGAATTTGGGAGTTACAAAATCGAATATTAAATTATTATTAAGAATTTCCACAGTTTGCAAATCAAATAGTAATCGTGGAAACGTTAGGTGCAATAGTTTGGGGATGAAGTAAAGCAAGGAGGTCGGAGTGACGCGGAGAGGAGACGGGTTGTAAGGGGGTCACTGGAGCCAAGCAATACTACGGTAGCATCTTCCGCCTGTAGATTGTTCATTTCTGAAAAGCTCTAGTAATGTACTGCCGCACAATTCTCTCTCTCTCTTTGTGGAATGCAGCCCTAAATCTTCGCAATCTCATCTCACATGTGTGTGTGTGTGTGTGTGTGTGTTATGGTTTGAGCTTTATTCTGACACGGTTGCCTGTGGAGAGGTTGATCTTGGGTGTTGGAGCAAAGCACCAGTAGTTCTGGGCCTCCTTTTCCAGAAGCAGATTTGCGCCACACGCCCCCGCCCCCGGCCCCTCAAGAAACGAACCGATGCAGGTGCGTGTCTTTTTTTTGACCTGGTGCGGCCAGCCATTTAGATCAGCTGTAGGCTGAGTCCCAACAGACGCGGCACAAAATTGGCCGCGTCTGGGAAAAAAAATCGCTGGGGAACATACTGGTGGGCATGAATGATATCGTAACCTTTTGATCGTAATCGATCGTGTAGTTCATCGCGGTAACGCTCACGAGTTCGTTAACTCTAGGGGAGAAGACCGTGGTCAGATTGTTGGTTGTTGTCAGAAGTTTGACATCAACGAAAAACATGTTTGACCGTGCCAGCGACGCACACTCGTTACTATGTTTAGTCTGCCTTAACCAACTCAGTGCCTCTGCTGTGCATCCTTTTTTCGCTGGGTTCTGTGCGAGGTGGTGGGTGGCATTTTTTTTTCAATCTGGAAATGAGCCGGTTCGTTGATTTGATGGGACATGTGGTAATCCCTTGCGTGGACCTGATCGGAAGGATCATGTCAAGTGTGTGGCTCAGCTGTGGTAGTGGGAGGCGAAAACATGGACAGGGGTTTCCTGGCCGGACCGGCGATTAGATCGGTAAGGAGCAGCAGCCGAACGAGTGTGGTGTGTTGACAAAGCTCAACTGTTCAGTTGTTTGGACATCAGGTGGACTCTTCTGGCAGGCAGACCAGGGAGAAACAGCCATCGTGCAATGGGGTCGCCCGCCCTGTGGAATATGTTATGAAGCTGTGTGCGAACGGACGGAACGGCCTCTTGTACCACTGGCTGCTTCTTGAATTGGGCCAAAGAGGTAGACCAGGTACTGTCAAATAGAAGGAAAAGGGGTTGAAAGGGGGTTGGCTTTGCAATGGGGTGCCTGCGAATGTGGTTGGGATGACAGCCTGCTTGAGATGGTTCAACTGATCGATTGTTGATATATTTCGTAGGCAAAGTAGTTGCTGGGGGGTGACGGGCAAGGGGGCGGGGAGGGGAGGGTGGAAAGAGGGGTGGAGGGGGGCTTAGGAAGGCAGGGGCAGAGTGATGCAAGAGAGCAGGGGAGGGGGATATAGACAGGGAGAATAGAGGAGAGCTTGGGGTTGTGGATCCAGGTGGATAGAGCTTTGCTAAGGTTTGCTGTGCTGGGGTGGATTAAGGGGAAAATAGGGGAAGGGGGGTTAGGAGGGTAGGGCAGAGTGACGGAAGAAAGCAGGGGAGGGGAACAGGGTGCGGGAGGTATAAACAGTGAACAGAGAGGACAGCTTGGTGTTGTGGACCTGGTGGGATGGATTGAGTATCGCTAAGATTCGCTGTGCGGAGGTGGAGTCCGGAAGAAAAAAAAAACAGAGAAAAAATCAGCCTTACTCAGCCGTACTGTGCATAGTTGATGCGTTTCCGCTGTGGCATGCAAAGGTTGCGGTTGAATCGAGTTTTGAGGGTTCAGTGTTGTTTTGAACAAGGAACTCGTTCCGCCATTTATGCTTTCGGCCCCTGCCCTGGTCGATTGCAGATGCCATCCAATGCTCTAGTCCATGAATCAATCAGACATCTAGGTCATTGAGGTGCAGCAGGTATCAAGGTGCAAGTGGTGCCCGTCTTGTCCGGCTTTTCTGTGTTGGGAGGTGGAATGAAAACACAATTCCATCACTCGTACTCTCGTACCTTCTATTGACCTTCATGTTCATAGCCAGCCAACACTGATTCCTACAAATGTGACTATGGTAAGGAGGACCGTCTGGAGTGCATTTCCATTTCTTTCCCCTTTCCCTGATCTCGCTCATTATCCCTGATGCCTATTTGCTGTCTATTACAAGGAAGGAGGGTTGGCATGCTAGCCTGTGTGATGTTTGAAAAATGTTCGTCTGTGGGGGGCGCATGAATTAGCACGGCAGCACTCTTTGTGTCTTTTGGCAAGGTGACACCTTGTGCTTGCAAGGTTTCATGTAACTGACTGACGGTGTACATACTGCGAGGAGGAGGGGTTGGAGGAGGGGGATGACACCTTCTGTTTTCGAGGTTTAACGTGACCGACTGCCGGTGTACGTACTGCAAGGAGGGGTTGGAAAGGGGGTTGGAGGAGGGGTTGGAGGGGTTCAAGGGGTGGGAGGGGTTGGAGGAGGGGAGTTGGAAGAGGAGGGGCTGGAGGAGGGGCTGGGGGCGGGGGATGTCACCTTCTGCTTGCGAGGTTTAATGTGACTGACGGCAGGTTTACATACTGCAAGGAGGAGGGGTTGGAGGAGGGGGTGGAGGAGGGGTTGGAGGAAGGGGGGATGGCACCTTCTGCTTGCAGGGTTTAATGTGACTGACTGTTAGTGTACATACTGCAAGGAGGAGGGGTTGGAGGAGGGGTTGGAGGGTGTCTTGTGTGATTGTGACTTGCTTTAACCGCATTCGGTGGAGGTTGCCTTCATGGCAATGCGTGCAACAGTCTCTTTGTCACTCTGAGCTGGCATTGTTGAGAGATGCAGGTGGCAAGTTTCCATGCATGCAGTAGCTAAGGTCAGCAATGTGGGCGTTGCTGCATGCCTGTGCCTTGCACTTCGCCATGCTACTCTTCTGGTTTTCAGTCTTCCTTTGGATGTTTCTAGGGGTGAAGTCCTCGTCGTCTTCACTCTCGGGGTCTGTCAGCAGTCAAAGTAGTGGTGTGTGTCAAAACAATGACTTCCCCCAGTTTCCCACAACAGCCTTGGTCAAAACCACTGGCATGACTTCCACGCACACGTCAGAGTCGGCCGTTGCCACTGTCCTTGCTGCAGCAGCTGCTGGCAACAGACAGAAGCGAACGGATGATGAAGTAAATCTTGCAGCTTCTGTCATTGGGAACGATATGCAGATCAGCAGCGAGATCGATTCTGTTGTGGGTGGCGTGGTGGATGGCATTGGATCGTCCAGCAATGAAGATGAGTCTGTCAGTGAGAAATCCCTTGAAGAGGCAGGGGCTGAAGAGCAAGACTTGGACGAGACTTACGATGGGTATTTTGCGAGCATCGATATTGATCCTAACTACTTTGTCGGGTTGCATAACATCTTGGCTCATGCAGTGATGGCTGCAGCAGCCGCAGCGGCTGCTGCCACTGCAGCTGCCGCTGCGGCTGCTGTGGCTGTTGCTTCGTCTGCCTCTGGTGAGGACCAGTCCTCATCGTCGGCAGTGGATGTCTGTGAGGAGGAGACACAGAGGGAAGAGGAAGTCTGTGATAACCAGCCCGAGGATTTCTGTGACGAGATTGTAGTCGGTTGTGATGCAGGACATGAGAAGGGCAGCGATAATCGATCGAAGGATGCCTCTGCCAAACGGGGAACCTCTGGCGCCCAGTCTGGACCAGTCATCATTGACGCGTCTCAGCCCAAGGCAGCGTCTGAGATTGATGGGCAAAGTCAGTCTGCCTCGGCGTCTGATGGAGATGCACCGATATCGACGCAAGGGCTGGCAACGGGCCGCACTACTGCCTCCAGCAGCAATGCGGCTCCTCTTGTTTTGCCCCCATCCAAAGAGACAGAAATTGAGGAGCTGCCTGACAGTTCCGAGGAAACATCGGAACGCGGCGACAAAACTGCAGAGGATGGAAAGCTGTCTGAGTCTGCTGCGAACACAGGTTCGGACCGCTACAAGGCCCTGCTCAACGGCGAAACAGATGGTCTGGTTGCTTCTTGTATTAGATTTGCACAAACATTCGCTGAAGCAAAGGGAGAAGGATCTGGGCAAAATGACGAAGACAAGTCGAGCTCTGATCAGACGGAGAATGGCGATTGCTCATCCGATTCAGACAAGTTACGAAGACCTTTGCGCCCGATTACCTCCCATGGAAGGGTGGATGGTGGGTTAGTGCACGAGAGTGATGATGGAGGCAGTGTGAGTCTGGAAGCCGAGTCACGGTTGGCAGGAAATCACACCAGTATGCTCTCGACAGAAAGGGAGGTGGATGACGGATCTGCAAATGCCAGCAGTAAGGCCCAGGGCACTGCATTGGATGTCGATGTGAAGGACGACTCCATGGAATCATCGTCATCAGCAGTGGAGAACGGAGGGGTCAAGTCTGGCGCAGACGGAGGAGAAGATGCAACATGCACGGATTTGCCGAGTTCGGAGGGAGAAGCTGAGTCACAAAAAGCATCGCAAGAAAAGGAACAAGGCATCAAGTCAGCGCCTGAAGAGGCAATTGAGTCTCATGAAGGCAATGACACAGGTGGGGTGCAGAAGAGCAACAAAGGCGATGGTGAGCCTGTATTGGTTGTACAGATGGAAGGCCAGAGCCGTCCGTCTGAACCTGGTGAGGATGACCACTCCTCCCCTCCACTTCAGGGGGCTCAGGAGGAGGAGGAGGAGGAGCAGGAAGAAACCTCCACTGCCGGTGGAAGCAGTGGAGCTGGAGCAGAAACAGAAGGGAAGGATGCTCTCCGGTCACGCCTAGTGGAGGGTGACCGTGAATGGGAGGGTGGAAAAGCCGAAGGATCTTCTGCTATATCAGAGAGCCAGCTGGTGCCAGTCAATAATGGCGTACAAGGTGCGCTTGTAACGGTCATTGGGATTCAGGATCTGGGTGCATCCAGCCCAGAGGCCGACTGGCCTGAAGTAAATGAGGAAACGATTGCATCATTGGAAGAACTGGTTTCTGAGGCCCTCTCCTGGAAGGTGAGAATGATATTTGGTCGACAGTTACCTTGTCCCTTCTATCTGGTTGTCTGTGCTGATCGTGGTTGGTAGCCCAATTGACTGCATGTTGTTGTCCTTTCGCAGTGCTACTGGTCCACACACATTTTTAAATGGGGGTGAAAATTGGGGGGTCGGTTAACCTTCTGTCCCTTGCACCCTTCGTTCATGGTCAAGCTTCCATTGCTGGAGCGCGTTTTGTTGTGCAATCCTCTGTAATGCTGTTCTTGGTTTGCAGTCATTTTTCCTATGATGGTTGTGGACATTGGATTTGAAAGGGTGTCGAGTCCAACATTTTAAATCCCATGTTCACAACCATCTATGCAAGGTGCCAGTCTAATGTTTTTGAAGGCTCATGTATACACCTGCTCCAGCCATCCAATGTGTGTCCTTATCCGATCGATAAAAGTGCAAGGGGCAGGTAGTGGGCACCCTCTCACAGCACGCGCAGAGAGCAGCTTGATGTGTGTGTGTGCGCGCGCGCGCGCGCGCGGGAGAGAGAGAGAGAGAGAGAGAGAGAGAGAGAGAGAGAGAGAG